TTACTTATCATTATCATAATTACCTTCATAGTAATATCCACAGCTGTTCTTAGTGGATTATTGCCCCCCCGACAATCTCTCACACTCCCTCCACTCATCCAATAAAAATCACACTACCAACACCCTGTCAATTGTGTGGGGTTAGAATACTCTCAGCTAACCCTCCTTTGAGCCGTAACTCTAATCCATGGCATTTTCCATTCTTCTATACGCCTTCTCGAAGATCAGCCCATATGTATCAGCTATAGCCGCCATATCTTAAGGAGTTCACAATAGAAGTAGGAGGCGTAATGACTATTAATATAACTTTAAGAAGTGTGATTATGGGGGTAGTAGTATGAAGATGGAGGGAGTTGTGGAGAGGTGAAAGGAAGTTTATGTGATGAAGGTTTTGTGAAAAATGTGATGAAGGAATTAGATCGTTGAAAAGTATATGGAAAGGTGCCAGTGGAAAGAAAGATATGATTGGCTGCTAGGTGATGACAGGTTAAGTGTGGGAAAATAATTGAACTGGCAGTGGCATGTGAGAGGGTGAAGCGTGGATTGTGTACTAGGTGGGAGTGAATAAATAGAGAAATGACCTGCTCGGAGTTGAAATTTGGGAATTGCTGAAAGGAAGGAAGGTAATGCGCATGATGCTCGCTGCCGTGGGGAATGTAAAGGCGGATGTGGATGTGTAATGACGATTGGATAATGATTAATCATGAAAAAATGAATTAGTATGTAGTGAGAATAATAGCAAGTGTAGCTGAATGGTGTGATCGATAGTATTTAACGAGTGAGATTTGTTAGAGTTGATCAGTCTGACAACTTGAGTATGATTAAAGACCATGTAGCCACTTACCACAAATTACGATTAGTGAACACAATCTTTCCAATTAATAGATTTTCTTCGATCTCCATATGATTTTCCAACGAACGGCCCACAAATAATTCACATAGTTATCCTTCACAAGCCTTATATAATTCACCAGATAACTATTGCCACCCTTCATAGTTACCAAATAAAATCAAACAAATTTTCAACGACCTCTTAAATATTTACCGCGAACTGGGAAACCTTAACACCCGATTTTCAAAAAAGGCATGCATCTAGAAATCTCGATCCTCCTTCTCCGTTCTATCATTACAATTCGCTCTTCTTATTAATTTCCCTGAAAATAGTTAGAACATGGTATAACAACTCATTTGAAAGTTAATTTCTAATTGTTGCACTTACATATTAACCATAAGTGAAATCATAATACAATTAAATCGATGAATAACTACGTATTAATACATGTATACTAAGGTAGTATTTAGTACATTGAGTATTAATCTCTATCATAAATACGAGATTAATTTTCTGGTTTGATAATCCAATATTTATTCTGTAGTTCTGTAATACATTAGATGTTAATGGTGGTATTAACTAATATTATAGCGCTAAGAGTAGTTATTAATAGAATGGATGCAGATGCACGTCTCACTAATATCAATAGAATCTCATACATCAGGAGTATCTATATATCTTGTTCTCTTATCTCAGACTCGTTGATCGTCGATTGATCCGCAATATATGTAAAATGCTACCATTAGGATTCTTATTATATCTCAATGACACTTACCTACTCACATCGACACACTCATCCCACTACCTCACCTCCTCATCTTACCAATCACATCCCCTCTGTCTCTCAATAATATAACCGTAATATATACACAATACATACCAGCGATCCCATATATCCGATATTTACACATATACCACTATAACCCATATACCAATCCACTACAAAGAACATATTAATATAACATATGTATGAATAATTATTCTAGCTTCTTCGACATCTCTCGTGTACACCCAGGGTGAGTATAGTATAGGATTAGATATATAATTATATATATATGTAGGTGTACTAATATCATATCATTTATGGGCCCTTAGATACTACCTATTATATATCATGTACATCCTACTACTAGGATATTATAGCTATATTATATATAGTTATTAAGGGATATAATAAGGTAGTAGTATATATAACAGCATAATAGCTAAATATATACCTAATATGATGTCGTTGTGACTGTTGTGTAGTGTGGTTTAATTAAGACATATATATTTGTAGATGTCGAGAGCTAAGTGTACTAAGCAACAACAGAGCTGTATCAAACTTAATGTGTGTTTGTGTCTGATAATAAGAATAAGTATGATCGATTTAATAAAGGAGAACTAATATATTCCGTTACTAAAGAATATGCAATGATAGAACATAGTACAGAGATTACAATATATAACTACCATTAATTGGTCGCACTGAGGGTAATAGTAGACTCAAGTGAACGCGCGAGACCTTCGACTTTCATCTCTCTCTTCGGCCCGGCCCCTTAATTTCTGCCGAAGCGCCTCGTCCTTTTCCTCCCTTCCTTCGCCCAGCTTCCCTTGTTTCTCTCCTTTTACGAAAGTTTCCCCTCATCAAGATCTCTTAATGACGACAAAGAAAACGGGAATCGAAGCGTCAAAATCCGATGGATTTTTAAACTCCTTTAACTGATGACTTGCGCGATCTAATCCTCCTGTCTTCCTATTGGATCCTCCTCCTCCGCTGCCAGAAGTTTCCTTGATCGTTAGTGAATGCTTTTAGCGAAAAAAAGATAATAGAAAAAAATAAGAAAAAAAGAGATAAAAAAGGAATAAAAAAAGCGGGAAGTTTGATAATAGCATCAGAGTTGAAGTTATAAACAAGGATGTTTTCGATGAAATGTCATAAAAAATATTGAGTGGATTTTCTGTTAATTGAAGGGAAGAACAAGACTGTTTACGTCGAAGCTGCTTCTCAAGGTCGTTGCCAAGGGCGCGGCTGGACGAGCAAAGCAATTTAGTTTCCGTATTGTTGAATTATAGAGCTTCTATTTTATTATTATATATATTTATTTCATATATATTATGCTATACGTGTATGACCATGTTGCATACATACACTATTGATAGTATGAGCACGTGCGCACATGGCCAGATTCCCTGAGCGACCCAATAGCCCAAACCTCAGGTATATCTAGTTTATCTATGCGTAGTCAGTGAGAGGTATATATCTAAAATCGTAATGCATATATCATACCATAGTATATATATAAGAGAGTTGAATAAACTTATATTATCATTAATTCATTATCATTTTTAAGTATATAGAGATTATAATACCGATTTATAATATGGGTTGAGTTATATATAATTACATTTAAATTATATGGGCGTCCCAGTGTGCATCTGTAAGTGAGGCGGAAGGACTACGGTACCACACACACACACACACACATCACACGACACACACGACACACACACCACACACACACACACAGATATAATATATAATATATTGAATATATATTTACATATATGATAGTCATATAACTATATTATATATATACATTAAAAGCAAACAAATTCACCTTCCTAATTTTGCGTTTTTATAAAAATCAATTACAAAAGTATTGCGTTCTCTTCAATAATTTTTATTGTAATTTCCCAAGCTTATAGACTGTCTGTCTCAAAATTCCAAAGGAATACATCTTTCATATTTAATTTTTTCTCACTGGTTCTCACCCTTTTTCTGAACTTTCACCATTATATTATTTATTTCTTTCTTATTTATTACATTTCTCTTTTTAGGATGAAAAAATGATAAATTTGAATTCAGTTGTATCCAATGTGCTCGCCAGTACAGGATTCGAAACTAAGAATGGGGTAATAAAAGCCATAAGATAAGATGAAGAACGAAGAATAGTGATATACGTAAGAGGGTTAAGAGTGATAAGTAGGGAAAGCAACGGAAAAATGTAACTACAAAATAAGAAAGAAAAGAAAGAAGAAAGAGAAAAAATACCAATTATCTTCCGGAAAAATGGGAAAGAATAAAAAAAATTACAAATCACCAACATTTAGTAAGAGAGAGAGAGACGAGAACGAGGGGAAGAGCAGGAGTAAAGAGAACGAAAGAGAAAGGTGCTAATGTATATATCAAATGAATATGAATAAGATAATATATGGTTAAGATATATATAGAATGAGATATGATATATATTATGATTTAGTATATCATATATTGTATATATATGCTATAATATATTTAAGCATATATAATATTTTCGAAGATAATTTATATATACAAACAATATAGAATACTATAGATATACTACTAGGATTAGTATATAATATAGATAATAGATAATCAATAATAGTAGAATAATGATGAATAATAGAAATGGAATATAATATATATATAGGTAATATAATAAATTATAAATCCGAGGAATCATATGAGTAACGAGAGTATGAGTATGATATATATAGATATAATACATACATAGTAATAATGATTCTATGCATAATCTATTTATCTATCTAATATATATATATATTATATATAAATATCCATTATATAAAGTATATATAATAGTGAACCATAATAATAAATAGATAAATTACATTATACATTATATTAGATATAATATGAGAATATATACGGTATAGATGATAAAGTATTGTAAATAGTGAATATACAGACCACATATGATATGAAGTCGTAAACCATATATAGAGAGATGATTATGAGAAGGAGTAATATAGAGATGAATAAGAAGAGAGAAATATACTATATGGTGGAGACGTAGAGAGAGAGAGAGAGACTGAGATGGAGAGAGAGAGAGAGAATTGAAGAGAGAGAGAGAGAGAGAGCAGAGCGGAGAAAGAGAGAGAGAGAGAGAGAAAGAGAGAAGAGAGAGAGAGAGAGAGAGAGTGAGTAGAGAGAGAGTAGAATGAGAGAAAAGAGAGAGAGAGAAGACAGCGACGAAACGCAAACGAAAGCCAAGGAAATAGACAGAGAAAAGGAATAAAAATAAAAAGAAAACAAGATAGAAAAAAAACACAGAAAAAAAAGAAACAAGAATAGAAAAAAACAGAAAGAATAAAAAAGAATAAAAAAAACGAAAGAAAAAGTCCTTATGAAACTACAAGCTTTTTAACCGGATCTGCCACACCCGGCGATCCCTCTGGCGGCTCCGTTGACAGCGGCTGGAAAAACTCCCTTGAAAAAGTCCCCAAAATCCCGCTTTCCTGTTTCCTGAAACGAGAACAAGGATTTATGGCGAGTTAAGCACACCAAACATAGACATTTTGGTTTGAAATCATGTATAACAGTTGAGACTACTAAATACATGATAAAAATATTCATACATGCTACATTAGGACAAACAATAGAACGAACTAACAACGCCAAACATTACACACAAAACAGCACCAAAACACACTAATATCTACAATACAACATACTACACAACACACACACACACTCATGAAAATATCACACAAAACCAAACAAAATAGAACACACAACCCTCATTAATAGAAATACACACACACACAAAACATAAACAAACTACACACCTAAAATAAACATACACAAACCCACTTCGAACAATAAACAAAACAACAAATCAACCACACAAGATAACTAACAAACAAAACACACAAACAATAAACATCAAATCACTCTATAAAAATACACACACATACACAAAAACCACACCCTAAAACCACATTCACAATACACTCACAACCATAACGAACACACACTAACAACAAACACACCCTAAAACCAAACTACAAACACTCACAAGACCGAAACACACCCCTACAAAACACACACACAGCCAAACAAAACACACCCCTAAAACAAACACAACTAAAAAAACATACACAACGACCACAAACAAACAAACACACACACACACAAACCGCCAACCCCACACCACACACACAAACACACATAAACTTACTTTCTCTCCACATGGAAAAATATCAGCACACATAGTGGCAGTCGTCGACACACAGGGCTCAGAAACATCCTCGGGACAGAAATTCTGAATCAGCATCCACTGTGAGATAAATAGATAAAAATAGATAAAGATAGATAGATAGATAAGTGAAATTATGATTATGATTAAGATTGAAGTGGTTTGTAAGGAGTGTGAGTGAGTGGCAGTGATGGGTTAGTGTTTGTAAGTGAATTGTAAGTAAGCGAGTGGATTTGTAAGTAGTGTGAGTAAGTAGTAGTGAAGGTTTGGTGTTTGGGAGAAAATGAATATTAATGATAAACTGGTTTGTAAGTGATGTAAGTAGTAGTGAAGCTCTAGTGTTCGGGAGAAAATAAAGATGAACATTTAAGTGCTTTATAAGTAATGTAAGTAAGAAGTGATGTGTTAGTATTTAGAAGAAAATTAAGATTAACATATGTAATTTAAGTAATCTAAGATTCATATTTAAGCCTTGTAAGTAATATAAGTAAGTAGTGATGGGTTAATATTCAAGTAACGATGGTAGAAAAAATTAATGACAGCGTTGATAATGAGAAAAAATATTACGATTATCATAATGGAAAAAGATAAACACAATAAAACAGCAATAAACAAAACAAAAACAAAAATACAAGATAAACAAACAAACAACAAAAACAAAACAACAACAACACAAAAAACAAAAAACAAACAACAAAAAAAACAAACAAAACAAAAAACAAACAACTAAAAAACAAACAAACAAACCAACAAACCAACAAACACAAACAACAAACACAAAAACAACACAAAAACAAAAACAAACAACACAAACAAAACCAAACAACGTACCAAGAGCGTGCACCTCTCACAGGTCACATCCTGAGGGACCTCCAAGGGAATCGTGTAGTCATCAGTCTTCGGGATCTTAGCCAGGTCGAACTTCTTGCCCATTCCTCCGGCGATGTTCAGGGGCATCCTGGTGGAGGAGGGGGAGGGGAGGAGGTGGAAGGTGGATGGGTGGAGGAGGAATAGGAGGTGGATGGGTGGAGGAGGGGAAGAGGAGGTGGATAGGTGGATGGGTGAGGAGGAAGAGGTGGATAGGTGGATGGGTAGGAGGGGATAGGAGGAGGGTTGGGTGAGGAGGGAGTAGGGGAGAGGTATAGGTGATGGGTGAGGAGGTGGATAGGTGGACAGGTGAGATGGTGAATAGGTGGGGTGAGTTAGTGGATAGGTGGAGGTGAAAAGTGAGTAGGTGGATAGGCAGAGGTGGAGGTGGATAGACGAGTAAGTAGATGGCTCAGTTGGTGGTTAAGTATATAGGAGTTGATGGATAACTAAATATTTATGTGACTAGGCGGAGGTGGATAGGTGAGCCAATGGACAGGTGAGTAGATAGATAACTAGATAGATAATCCTAGCAAACACACACATGCTCCTAGCCCTAGTTCAGCACATACCAGATAAAAAAAAAAAAAAAAAAAAAAAAAAAAAAAAAAAAACAATCATATGCAACGTTACAGAGTGTGTTCGAATCCTTGCCTTAAAGTTCATTATATTTCTATAATAATAATTTACGTGACTTTGTTCTTCTATCTCACACACGCAATACAAACGGATGATAATAAATGAATAGATAAATATAAACGAACAAATAAACAGATAAAATGCCAAATATATGAAATGATAAATATGTGTGAATATGATTAAATGCAACAACACACACATAGAATATGATAATAGATAAATAAAAGAATTAATGAATCTAAAGAATATGTCAATATATTCTTCCATCTCTCTCACATAAGCAGAACAAAATTAATTAATCAATAGACAAAAATATGCATAAAAAATGCATAAATATTCAAATAGAATGAAATGAAATAAAACAAAGACAGATTGAAATTAGATAAAAATAGAGATAAAATCAAATAAAATCAAATCAATGAAAAAAATAAAATGAAAATAGAGGTGATGACAGCGAATGTAATGATCAAAACAAAGACAGATAAGATATATGGAAACAGAATAAAGACAGAGGATGAAATAATGACATAAAGACATCGAAGTAAGAATAGAATAAAGAACAAATCAAACAAAATAAAGAGAAAAAAATGAAAGGAATAAAACCAACATAAAAAAATATCAAATAAACTATCCAATAAAGAACGAATAAACAAATAAGAATCGAATTAAATTGAATAAAATAAATAAGGAATTAAATTAAGCAAGGAATTAAATCAAATAAGGAATTTAAATAAGGAATTAAATCAAACTAAATAAAACAAAATAAAAACAAAGAGACAGGACATAAACCAACATAAAAAATAAGGAATTAAATCAAATAACAAAATAAAATAAAACAAATAAGGACAAACAAAGACAGAACAAATTAAAACCAACATAAAAAATAAGGAATTAAATAAAACAAAATAAAATAAAACAAAAATAAGGCCAAAACAGAGAGACAGAACCAAACCAACATAAAACCAACATAAAAAAAAATTAAATAATAAAATAAAACAAAAGGCCAAACAAAAGAGACAGAACCAAACCACATAAAACCAACATAAAAAAAAATAAAATAAAACAAAAGCCCAAATCCACAGAACCAAACCCACATAAAACCAACAAAAAAAAAAAGCCCAAATCCAGCCTCTTACTTGACCAGACACTCCTCGTCGCCAGGGTCGGTCTCGGGGCAGAGGTAGAACTCGAAGACGCCGCTCTCAGCCTGGGGGAGCGTGGCCTTCACTTCCATCACCTCGAGAGCGACAAGGGGGGAAGTATAGGGTGAGAATGATGGTAAAAAGGAAGAAAAGGGGAAGAAAGGAGAGAGAAGGAAAGAGGAAAGAAGGAAATATATATGTAAATGTGTGTTTGTGTTGTGTGTGTGTGTGTGTGTGTGTGTGTGTGTGTGTGTGTGTGTGTGTGTGTGTGTGTGTGTGTTTTATATGTGTGTGTGTGTGTGTGGGTGTGTGTGTTGTGTGTGTGTGTGTGTGTGTGTGTGTGTGTGTTGTGTGTGTGTGTGTGTGGTGTTTATATGTGTGTGTGTGTGTGTGTGCGTGTGTGCGTGTGTGTGAGTGTGTAAAGAAAAAAAAAAAAAAAAAACGAAACAGCTCTTCACTTGGGGATCTCTGCCTTCACTTCCATCACCTTAAGATCGAAATGGAAGTAGATTATCATAATGATGATAAAAAGAATAAGAAAAGAATAAGTCAAAGAAAGAAAAAAATGTAGAAAAATATATATAAAAATATTCCGCCTTGTGAATCTGTGCCTTCACTTCCATCATCCTAAGATCGAAAAGGAAAGAAATGATAAAAATGATAATCAAAATAAAATAAGTAAAAAATGAAAAATCCCGTCGTGAGCTTTTACTTCCATCTTCAGATTGAAAATAAAAGAAAAGATAAATACAATGACAGAGAAAAGTCAAAAAAAAAAAAAAAAAAAAAAAAAAAAAAAAAAAAAAAAAAAAAAAAAAAAAAGAAAAAAAAAAAATATATATATAAACGAAAAAACGAAGAATGGCATAAGAAAAAAAAACAAAAATAAAATCATACTTAATAAGGATACTAAAACCCTTATAAACACTCACTTCTCCCGCTGTATACTCCTTCAAGTTACTTTCTGGAATGGCTTCGTCCATGGCAGCCTGTAAGTAATTGTGAAGTGTAAGTAAACCCTCTTTACTCACAGAATTACTCGCATGTATGTCTCTATGTGTTTTTCTTTACTTACTTATATTGTTCATTATTGTTTTTTAGTGTAAAGTTATGCGTCGGAGTGTGAGAGGAAATAGATAAAGGAGGAAGATATCGATAGACTGAGGGATATGAATAGATAAATTGGTAGACAAATAGATAGGTAGAGGGAGAGAGAGAGAGAGAGAGAGAGAGAGAGGAGACGTAGAGGAGAGAGAGAGACAGAGAGAGATAGATAAGAGAGAGAGAAGAGAGAAGAAGAAGAGATAGAGAGGAGAGAAGAGAAAGAGAAACAGAGAGAGGGACAGAGATAGACATACAGAGAGAAGACATTAAAGAAGATTGAGTCAGAAAGACAAAGAGAAAGAGAAGGAAAATAATTCTAAACAGAAATCATAAAATATAAAGAGAGAAGAAATAATAATAAAAAAATGAATAGAAATAAATAAAAATCCAGCATACCAGATCTCTGCATTGGCGCGACTCAGGAGACACGAGGATCTGGGCCGAGGCCACGCCCACCTGGAACACCACATGTATATATATATAGTACACACACACACACACACACACACACACACACACACACACACACACACATATATAATATATTATATTATATATATATATATATATATATATATATATTATATATATTTTTTTTTTTTTTTTTTTTTTTTTTTTTTTTTGACATTGCTCCATTTTTGGTATGAGGTTATGTATTATCTGTCAGTTCAGATCAGATTAGTTTGAATTTGTGATATGTTTTGGAATATGGAAATCATCCATCTTAAAAAAAAATGCCCAATGAGTGTATAAAAACTTGAAGTTGCACAGGAGCCAAGTTTTTTTTTTTTTTTTTTTAAATAAGAAAAGAAAAAGAAACTGGCCATATCTGAAAATTATAACCAACAAATCAGAATCATTAGTTTTTAAAACCGCATCATGATATTCATCCAAAGACAAGGTAAAAAAAATACCCATCACCTCATACTTACCACCAGGAGATAAAAGGCAGCGTTTACCATCTTGCAGTTGATGTCCAAGAAGCCGATCTGTCGCCGAAGTGAGGGATGGGCGAGTGTCCGGCTGCATTTATAGTCCAGGGTTCGAGTCCCGGATGCTCAGAGCCCCGGATGTGGTGTGAACTTGTCACTTTGGCCACCAGATGGAACTGCTAAGTGCGCGCAATGGTCGTTATGATGGTGAAGGGATATTGTAGGGTGATGCTTTGAAAAAATAGTTTCATTTTTATGTTTGGCATATAGGAAAAGTACATTTTCGATGCAAGTCAAGTCATTATATAATATGTTATATACTATTATACCTATAGATATATATACTCTATAATATATATATATATATATAGCCCCTAGAGAGGGATATATGAGAGTGAATAATAGCAAGAGAGAAGAGTAGAGAGATATAAGTTAATTAATATATATCGATATATATATCATATATATATATATAGAGATAGTATAAGTGAGATAGGAAGAGAGAGAAGGGATAGAGTATAGAGAGAGAGAGAGGAAGGGAGAGAGGGAGAGAGAGGAGAGAGGAGAGAGAAAGGAGAGAGAGAGAGAGACTGAGAGAGAGAGAGAGACGAGAGACAGGAGAGGAGAGAGAGAGCCGAGGGGCAAGAAAGAGAAGGGATGGTAAGGAGGGACGCCACAGAAAACGCCCCCANTTTCGTGTCTGGAGATCGAAGCGGTCATTGTAGGAAGTGTTTTCGTGTCTGGAGATCGAGGCGGTCATTGTAGGGGAGTGTTTGTGTCTGGAGATCGAGCGGTCATTGTAGGGGAGTGTTTCGTGTCTGGGGATCGCGAATCGAAGTGTTTCGTGATGCTGGAGATCGGGAAGCGGTCATTGTAGGGGAGTGTTTCGTGTCTGGGGATCGAAGTGACTGTCCTAATGTTATATAACTGATGTATATAACTTGCCAGATCTCTCTGTTCGTCGTCCGAAACACGTCAAGACACAGCCGTAGGGTTTACCATACACCAGGAGAGTATAATTCAATATATAATTCGATACACATAATATAGTACATTAATACAGATAATATAGTATAATACACAATGAACATAATACACATAATATAGCACATTAATACAGATAATATAGTATAATACACAATGAACATAATACACATAATATAGCACATTAATACAGATAATATAGTATAATACACAATAAATATAATACACATAATATAGTACATTAATACAGATAATATTGTAAAATACACATAATACAGTACATTAATACAGATAATATAGTATAATACACAATAAATATAATACACATAATATAGTACATTAATACAGATAATATTGTATAATACACATAATACAGTATATTAATACAGATAATATAGTATAATACACAATGAACATAATACACATAATATAGCACATTAATACAGATAATATAGTATGATACACAATAAATATAATACACATAATATAGCACATTAATACAGATAATATAGTATAATACACAATAAATATAATACACATAATATAGTACATTAATACAGATAATATTGTATAATACACATAATACAGTATATTGATACAGATAATAAGGTATAATACACAATAAATATAATACAAATATTATAATAAGATACATTAATACAGATAATATAGTATAAATACACAAAATAATAATACACATAATATAGTACATTAATACAGATAATATTGTATAATACACATAATACAGTATATTAATACAGATAATATAGTATAATACACAATAAATATGAGACACATAAATGTAATATAATACTAATATAATTCACACAAATATAGGACACGTAGCAGGCACTATCATACACAAGGAGAGCATAATTGGATATATATAACTTATAAAGTATAATTTAGTCTCATAATCGTTTAGCGTTTTCTTCGGATCCTCGTAAGGTAAGTTACAATTAATGGGGAAAGTTCTAGTCGAAATTAGGTAATTTAGCATCAAGAATCCTTTAGCCTATGCCTTAAGGTCTCGTCTCTCTCTCTTCTCTCTCTCTCTCTCTCTCTCTCTCGAGGTTCTCTCTCTCTCTCTCCTCTCTCCTCTCTCTCTCTCTCTCTCTCTCTACCTTCTCTCTCTCTCTCTCTCTCTTCTCCTCTCTCTCTCTCTCTCTACTCTCTCTCTCTACCTCTCTCCTCTCTCTCTACCTCTCTCTCTCTCTTCCTCTCTCTCTCTCTCTTCCAACTCAATGCGTCCAATCTCAGGAAATGTGAAACTGGCAACCTTTCCGGAGCTTTGGAGTACTCCGATCGCCTCTCTATCTCCTCTTCTCTTCTTTCTTTTTTTTTTTTTTTTAATCATATTTATGTTTACATGTGTCTAGATTTTTTTTCGTACTTACATGCTATATGTTTCACTGTTTTCAACACTGTATTCCTTCTTCCTCGAAAGAGACTTAGCGAATCGGAGTCCCTTTATGTCTAGAGGTGAGTTGCCAATTGTTCCTTTCCTGAGATTTAGCGTACCGTAAAGCGACGGCGAGGTGTATCTCCGGAAATCTTTATTTTTCGTGTGAGCAACCGTTGTGTTAAATCCCTTCGCTGCAAATAAGAGAAATAGAAAGAAAAAGAAAGAAAGAGAGAGGGAAGAGCAGAAAAAAGGTGATGTCAGCCCTCATATCTTGGAGTCTAAGTTAGTACGTACATTATCATCACCATTAAGACGTATGCGCTGCTTTTGTCTCCACAGAGCATGGTGAAGATTGGTTTCTGCAAAATTACCCCCATTCCACGAAGTACTATACTTATGCTTCGAAGTAATTATGTATTGTCTCAGTTCACTGAGAACTAGTGAGAAAAAGAAAAAAGGTAAAAAAAAAAATGGAAATAAATACATAGAAAATAAAATACGAATAAGTAAATATAGATAAGGTAGAGGAAATAAAAAGACAAAACTAAATGCATCTCAAAAATCTTTACTTTACAAATAAATTCTACCACCAAGACAAGTAGCCTGCATTTTGAATTTCCCGGTTATCACCACAACAAAATCCAAGTACAAACCCATGCAACAGGAACGACGAAGGGAAGGGCAAAAAAACACACGAATATGCCGAAGGCCTTTTCACTATTGCTTCGTCAGGGCATATGAAAGGGCCTTCGGCATATTCGTGTGTTTTCTTGCCCTTCCCTTCGTCGTTCCTGTTGCATTCTGTTCAACATGAATTCCACACAGGCAAACCCATGCCTGTCAAAATCACTCCTATTTTCGAGAGATCACTCGACTATGTTCATGCATCTTGGACAAACAACATCACTCGAGCCCAGTGACAGCACAGAGTGAAAGAGGTGACAGCACAGAGTGACAGACGTGACAGCATATCCCAAGCCTCCGTGGGAATGAGCTGGCCCCAAAATTCAGATCCTATGACGTGTCCTTTGTATGCCCTCTTTATTGTTTTTAATCTGTGTACTGCATCCCTTCAAGGAATTGATAAAGAATGCCAAGGACAAAAAATTATAATCTTGACTTATAATGACAGTATGCAAAGTCTGAAAAAGCTCTCAGCTTGCGTAAATAATAATAATAATAATAAAAATGATGATAATGATAATGATAATGATAATGATAATGATAATAATAATGATAATGATAATGATAATGATAATGATAAGATAATGATAATATAATAATAATAATAATAATAATAATAATGATGATAATGATAATGATAATATAATGATAATGATAATAATAATGATAATAATGATAATGATAATAATGATAATGATAATGATATGATAATGATAATGAATAATAATAATAATAATAATAATAATGATAATAATGATAATGATAATGATAATGATAATGATAATGATAATGATAAATAATGATAATGATAATGATAATGATAATGATAATGATAATGATAATGAAATAATAATAATAATAATAATAATAATAATAATAATAATAAATAATAATATATATGATAATGATAATAATAAATAATGATAAATAAATAAATAATAATAATAATAAATAATAATAATAATAATAATAATAATAATTAATAATAAATAATAATAATAATATATAATAAAATGCCTTCTTATTGACCCATCATGCCCATTTGACACTCGCATTGAAAAGAAAGATGAAGAAAAGTGCAACAATTACTGCGACTTGCAATATGGGATTGCAAGAATGTGGAGAATGAAAGAAGTTGAAGTAATCCCTGTAGGGTCGCTGACGAAAGACTTTGAAAAAGGGATTCAAAAGCTAGATTTGGGAATAACAGCAGAAATGTTACAAAAAATCTTGTTTACTCGGAACAGCCAAAATTATGCGGAAAGTCTTGGACACGAAATGAAGAAATTAGGGATGCTGCAATATCTAAGACCTCTGGTTGTGGTCCGCTATTGCAGCTCGTTAACCAAGATATAACATCAATCTTGTGAATAGTAGAAATAATAATAATAATATGGTAATAGAATGTCTGAAATCTTCCTGTATAAGCTTCCTTGTTGCGCTCCTCAGGCGACCTCAGTGCGCCTCGTTTTAAAATTCAAATCCTAACTACCCAACTTGGTAGACAATTAAAGTACAAATTGCAACCCCAATTTAAAATTTTTTTTTTTTTATTACCTTTGATAACGTAATAATTAATAATTAATAATTATTAATAATAAAAATTATTTGATAACGTAATAATTAATAATTAGTGATTAATAGCATCTATGTACCAAGGACAAGGATGACATACAGTGATAACACAAAACCATAATGAATTGCTTTATCTTAAACAACAGGACAAACCCCGCCCCACTCCTCCTGTACCCCCCCCCCCCGCCCATGTTAGTGTCACGGGGAATATTCGCGTTTGATGATTAACTTTGCTTTTATATTGAGTATTAATTCATCCGCTTTATTGGGTTTCAATTAACTTTTCGAACCACATTTTTGATGTCTGTGTAACAAAGGAATTTCACACTTAAACTAGCAGAGAACAGGGACTCTTTTTCCCTTTGTTCGATCTGTTTGTTATTTTCAATCTATGATCTTTTTCTCTCGTTATTATCTCGCAATATAACTATTATTGTTTGCGACTGCAGAATGCATACATATACATAAGAGCGTGGATACACATACTTATATACTATGTATTTTTATATCTATCTATATATGTATATTTCACGCACTCCCACATCCATCCACACACACACACACACACACACACACACACACACACACACACACACATATATATATATATATATATATATATATATATATATATATATATATATATATATATATATATATATAATATATATATAAAGTAGATGTATGCTATCTTTTTATGATGGGTTGTAAGACTACTTCATAGGTCATTTCCATGGAACATACATATATATATATATATATATATATTATATATATATCTATATATATATATATGTGTGTGTGTGTGTGTGTGTGTGTGTGTGTGTGTGTGTGTGTGTGTGTGTGTGTGTGTGTGTGTGTGTGTGTGTGTGTGTGTGTGTGTGTGTGTGTGTGTGTGTGTGACTAATTTATCCATTTGCTTACATGCTAGTTTTATGGAGAGTTGAGCCTGTGAATGTAAATGGAATTTCGAAAATTCAAACAAATAAATTTAAATACAAAAGCATAAAAATCCATGTATGCACATAGTGATCATTATCACTATAGTTATTATTATTTATTATAATATATTATATATTATTATTATTGTTATTATTATTGTCATTATCATTACCATAGTTATTATTACCATTATTATCTCAATTGTTATTATTATTATTATCATTAGTTGTAGTAGTAGTAGTAGTAGTAGTATTGTTATTGTAGTTAATTATGATCATCATTATTCTCGTTATTGTCGTTATAATGATTATGGATCTTTTATCATTATCATCATTATTGTTACCATCATATTTATCATCATTATTATTATCACCATCACTATCTTTTTATCATTGTTATTATGCACTATAATCTAGCGATTAATATATATCTTTTTTAGTTTATATATACAACTAGACAACTTTATTCATTATAATCATTCACTTTTCATTATCAATTTTGATATCCTGATGAAAAAATTTTCATGTGAGATCCTAAGGTTTAAACTTGTAGAGGGTAAATTTTTAAATTAAGTATATATATAATATATATATATATTATATATATATATATATATATATATATATATATATATATATATATATATATATATTATATATTTTTTTTTTTTTTTTTTTTTTTTTTTTTTTTTTTTCTTTCTTTTTTTTTTCTTTTTTTTTGATATAACAAAGAGAGGAACTTAGCTAACTGGAATCTTTGTGAGTGTTTTAGTTTTAGTGTTTTTTTTCTTTTTTTTATAACAAAGAGAGGAACTTAGCTAACTGGAATCTTGTGAGTATATATATATATATATATTATTAATATATATATATATATATATATATATATATATATATTATATATATATATATATATATATATATTTTTTTTTTTTTTTTTTTTTTTTTTTTTTTTTTTTTTTTATTTTTTTTTTTTTTTTTTTGATAACAAAGAGAGGACCTTAGCTAACTGGAATCTTTGTGAGTGTTTTGACAATATTTGCATATCATGATGTGAAGAGCGCGAGAGAGGCTTTCACACAGGGGTAAACATACAGCATAGATACAAATAATGAAACGTTGTTACCAGATTTATACAAAAAAAGAACAGCTAAAAGCGTGTCTCATTATGTCTTTGAACAGCACTCTTTATAGGAAGCCTGAACAACAAAGTAATCATGGACATTTTAAAATCATTTGAAGTTTTCAAACACTAAGCATCGCCACCAGTTACGAAATGAAATTCAATTCTGTTCTGAATCCTCTTTGAAACGATGAAAACAAGATTGTCAGTATATATTAATTTTTCTTCTTCGTGTCTTTACATTGTGCTCATATTTTTCCCCTAATTTTTTTATTGGGAGATTGTGATAACTTATGAAAGCTGCACAGAAAATCGCTCACTACCTGCTGTGTCAATATAAAAATAGGTGTACAAAAGAATTTTCAAATAAAAATGGGAAACATTCTTGGAGGAAAAATGAGAAATGGAATAAACAATATTTTGCATTTCATTTGTGTTGATTCACTACAAAGGTTACTTCCATTTTAAGAATTCATATTGTTGGGGTTAATCATGTAAGGGTTTAGGTTTATTATTGTTCCAAAGAACGCAATATGATATGTTTTAAAGAGATATTCATATATAATAGATTTCTTATTATAGTATAATACTATACTATGATTACTGAGTAGTATATGTATATTGGAAGTGTGACTGTGTAGTAGTTGGTGGATAGTAGTACTATTTATATATAAATATATCTGTATATATTATTATTGTATCTAAATTATTTAATGTTGGTGTTATACTGCGTGTATATAGGGGTCTGGGTGGGTTAATATATAGTCTGTAGAGATTAAGTATAGTTCGTAGGATTCTGAGTTGCGTAGTCTGTAGGAGTATGCTTGTATGTTGATAGTATATGAGATGATGAGTTGTAAATTAAATTGGCGACCAGATCAAATACTAATAAGTTTGAAGTATATCGTATGTAGTATGCTATATGATATAGGATAGTATATAGATATATAGGTATTTAATACATAGTATGTCTAGATTGATCGATGAGATGCTACATATATGCTTACATATATCTACTCACTATATCTTACATATATCATCACATTATATTATATATATATATACTACAGAACAAACGAATCAGTAGGATTATATATTTTATATATATATATAGATATATATATATATATATATGTTATATATATATATACTATTATATATGTTGTGTGTGTTGTGTGGTGTGTGTGTGTGTGTGTGTGTGTGTGTGTGTGTGTGGTGTGTGTGTGTGCGTGTGTGTGTGTGTGTGTGTGTATGTATATATATATATAGATATATATTATTACTATGAGGGTAATATATAATATCCATATATAGTAGTTAATTATATATATACTAATAGTATATTACTATATAATAGTATACTAATAGTATACTATATGCTATATAGTAGTATATATTATTATATAGTATATATAGATATACATACATCTATAATACATATGATATAGTATAGTATATAATATAATATATATATACTAATATATATATATATATATAAGCGATACGAATATC